GTCGAGAAACAACGCTAAAACTATGAACTGAAGCCAATGAACGAAAAGGAAAAGAACCAAAGAGTGCGCACTCATAAAATAATATGTGCTCTCCAGAACTATTTTTCCTTTCGAGAACTCAGGAATACACACACACACACACACACACACACACACACACACACACACACACACACACACACACACACACACACACACACACACACACAGACACATCTATCCACCTAGTCCCATACACACAGACACACACACACACACATGCTCGCAAATACCCACGTAATACTTATAATTCAAGGCAATTGTATATGTATATGTAAAATATGTATATGTGTGCATAGACGTCTTACATACTATGTCCTGTTTCTTCACAGGGATCATGGCGGCCAGCCATTTAGAATTGTTTCTCCTTGCCTTGGCTGTGACGTCATGTAGTAGTTTCTACCACCAGCCGACATTTCTTGAGCCTGTCTATGATGAGTACGGTAAGGGCAGATATATAGAGAGATAGATAGATAGATAGATAGATAGATAGATAGATAGATAGATAGATAGATAGATAGATACATAGATAGATAGATCGATAAATCGATACATCGATAGATAGATAGATAGAGGCCTGTGCAGATAGATAGATAGATAGATAGATAGATAGATAGATAGATAGATAGATAGATAGATAGATAGATAGATAGATAGGTAGAGTCCTGTTTAAAAGGTGAATAATGTATCACAGTATTCTAGTAGATACATAGATACTTGTTTTGCGAGGTAGATGGGGTCTCACGGTATTCTAGACGGTCGGATTAATTGCTCGCTTGACATTAGCGTTTGTGTCTGTCCCTGTTTTACTAGCAAAAGTAGTTCGACTTTTTTTTCTTGTAAGGGTTTTACGGAGCTCGCAACTGCAGGAGGTCATACAAGTGCAGCAACACATTACGCGTTTTCCGTTTGGTAGGAATTAATTTTGAATTTTGCCCGAATGGCGGCTGAATGCTACCTTTATCGTGTGTGTGTGTGTGTGTGTGTGTGTGTGTGTGTGTGTGTATGTATGTGTGTGTGTGTGTGTG